TAACTGTCATCTAAATGTTAAAAATATTATATTTTTGTGATAAAGAGAATGGCAGGCATGAAAAGAGTGGCAGTGCTCTTGAAATAAACACACACTGAGCCAAGGGAATCTTGGGTGACCACGCTAAGTGGGTTAGATAGAAAGAGCACCATCCATGGGGTGGGAGCTTAGATCAGAATAAGATATTCCTTCATGAATCTTGATCTCAAGCTCTTTAGGACTTTGAAGGTTAAGATTACAATATCATCTCAGTTAAAATACAACTGTTTCAAATAAAAATAAATATTTTTTCTACTCTTCTACTTTGTTTGATTTTGATTTTGGGATTGAAGCTGAACAAATTCACTCTCCAGGGACATCCTGGAGAGGGTGTGGGGCCCCTTTGAGTAATTTCTCTAATATTATCTATAATAAATTGTTTGGTCTTCACTTGAAATTCTCAGTGATGTTTTTAAAAGATTACTCCACGACAACATTAGAATATCCCAAGAGGTCAATTAGCCAATAAGTGCCTGTTTCTTCTTCATAAGAAATTACATTCTGGATAAGAAGTTCTGAGCATGAAGGAGAATCAGCCATTGTCACTGAAACTGATCCAGCAACATGACTGGAGAAATCGTCATTTCATCCCTTAAAATTATGGAATTGATAACAAACCAAAATACCTTTTTCTGATCAGTTCTAAAGAGCGACTCTAGATTATAATCAAAGGTGAGTAGTCCAAGTTATCTATTGCTTTAGATCCCAGTTTTGAATTTTCTGCACATACTGTTGTTGTTTAGTCGTCTTAGTCCTGTTTGACCCTCCGTGACCCCATGAGCCAGAGCATAACCCTGGAAACTCTCACTTTCAAAGCTTCTCCTTTTTTATGTCCATGAAGTTTTCTTGACAAAATACTGGAGTGGTTTGCCAGTTCCTTCTCCACACATACTGAATACATGATTATTCCAAACAGCCTGCCATAAAAACAAGTCCCCTATGGTGACCAGATGCAAAGGAGGACAGGGCTTCCATGCCCTTTAATTCTCTCATTCTGTCTTCTCTCCAGCCTACACTACTGTGACATGCTCAGCTGTTTTTATTAGATAACTTCTTTTTTTGTCAGGAGTCCTATCCTCATTTGCATCTAATCAGCCAAGAACTCTGTCACAAATTAAAGAGGAGCTTCTTTCATCTCTCAGCTTTAAGCAGGGAAATGTTAGTGCAACCGGCTTGCAGAATTTTGGTGGAACAAGTTCAGTGTGAAATCAGCCACTCATTTACCGGGTGACCAATGCTTATTAACCAGCCACCTAGTAGGAAGGCTTATAGGGAGTTTATAGGGCAGTTTGAGCCCAATTTTCAAGCTTGGTGGGCACAGGGATAACTTTTCTGGTCAGAGTGAGTCAATTTAATGTGGCCAATTATGAAAGGAGAAAAACCAGTAGATGCTGATGGTTTTGTACAGTGCTATGGTGGCTGCCTTCCCAACACTGGTGTCACTGCAGCTTATCTGAGTGGGGCGGGGGAAGGACATGGTGGCAGTGAGTTTGGGGCTGAAAGGGTACACCTATGGAACTAATGTCACTTTAGTATTTCTTAAATTATGGGAAGCCTAACCTCCTAATGCAGTTGGGACAGAGTTAATTCTGGGCTCTGTGAATGCAGTGATCACATGAACACACAAAGCTGCCTTATTTGGTATGCAGTTCCAACAATACCCTCACCAGCTGACTTGTGAAAACAACTGTTCATACTCTTCAGCACTTCGACATTGCATGGCCACACACAATATTCTCGGTAAGACATGAAATGCTGGAGCAGTGATCTGCTGCCAGATCATAGCATGGCATCATTTGTATGGTGAGGATTCCCAGCTCCATTTCTCTGTTACATCTGAATCAGGAGAGGCTGTGACTGTTTTCAAAGATGCCTAGCTGCAGTGGTTGGGTGGATGAGAACCAACAAACCGAAGCTGAGTCTTGTCAAGATAGAGACACAAGGTTTCACACCATCTGAATAAACAGTTGGTGTGTAGTTTGTGAATGATCCTTGATCCACCTTTGTCATTGGAGGGCCAAATGACCTCTTTGCTTAGGGTGGGATGCCAACAATGCCCTTTCCTTGGTCACTCTGATTCATGCATCAATTACTGTAATGCTCTTTTATGTGGCACTTTCATTGGAATTGTTCCAGAAGCTGCAACTGGTGCTATTGCACTTGAGTTGAAGGAACTGCAATGCCTGACAATCAGCTACCGGGCCCAGTTCAATACCTTGTTGTTAACATAGAAAGCCTTGAAGAATTCAGGACTGCGTTACCTGAAAGACTGCTTGCTCCTGCATGGGCCAGTAAGATCACTTAGATCATCTAGGAAACTTCTAATCATGGCAGTGCACCCTACACAGTATTATAGGGTAGAGACCAAAAAATTGACATTTTCTGCTCTTGCCCTTGTACTATGCGCCATATGTAAAGCAGTAGCTATCAGTTGCTTCAGATATCTTGTAAAGACTTACTGTATCACGATGCTCTGGTTTTCCCTGATGCATAAGATTTTACACAGTTATATGTGCTTGAGTCCCCTACATTGTTTTATATACTCTTATATGGATACTTTCATGATTTTAAGCTCTGCTTTTAAATTAAGAAATTGCAAAATATAAAATATACTGTATTCTTCCTTCCTCTTGACTACCTCCCTATTTCTTCCTTTCTTTCTTTAAGCGATAATTTTTTTTATTGTTGATTGGACAAATTCCATTCCCCCCTTCAACTGAAAAAGATGCAAAAACCTGCTGGGCGTAATGAGACCATCATTACAGAATTCATCCTTCGTGGCTTTGGAGACTTCCATGACCTACAAATTCTTCTCTTCATTGTTTTTCTCATGATCTACATCATGACCATGGTTGGGAACTTGATCATTGTTGGACTAGTTGTGACTGATCGGCACTTACACACACCCATGTATTTCTTCCTTGGAAATTTGTCTTGCTTAGAGATCTGTTACAGCTCAACCATCCTCCCCAGAATGCTGGCCAGTTTATTAACACATAATGATAGTGTATCTATTCATAGCTGCTTGGTCCAATTCTGGACTTTTGGGGTTTTAGCAGGAACAGAATGCTATCTCCTGGCAGCAATGTCTTATGATCGTTGCCTGGCAATATGTCGACCACTGCATTATTCCACACATATGAATGCAAAGGTTTGCCTCCTGCTGGTGGTTGGATCTTGGATGAGCAGCTTTGTGATGGACACAACAGTATTTATATTTGTATTGCAGCTAACATTCTGTGGTCACAATGTTATTGAACATTTCTTTTGTGATTTCACTCCATTGATTAATCTGGCCTGCAGTGACACACGGCGGGTTAAACTCATATCAACTGTTCTGACTTCAATAGCTACCCTGCCACCATTCATTCTGACCTTAGCATCATACATGTACATCATTGCAGCCATTCTTCAAATTCCATCCACCACAGGGAGGCAAAAGGCCTTCTCTACTTGCTCTTCTCACCTCATTGTGGTGACCATTTTCTATGGCACTCTCATCATTGTATATGTTTTGCCAGATACCAATGAACTGAAAGAGCTGAACAAGTTATTCTCTGTTTTTTACACTATTTTGACACCTCTAGTCAATCCCCTCATATACAGCCTGAGGAACAAGGAGGTGAAGGAAGCCTTGAGGAGAGCAGGCAGCCATATGTGCAAATGTGCATTCAACTCTGGCCTTCAAATCTTTAGATGTTGCATAAGGTGATTAGACTTCCATAGCTAGAAAAAAGGGAACGCTATGGAGTTTGTGAACCTCATACACACTAAGAAAGGCAACATTCAAAAGTCATTTAGGCTATGTTCTAAGACCTTGGAGACATGTTACAGAGCCCTCTGTATTGTAGCTAATGAACATTATAGGTGAACACTGTAAGCTACATATGACAAATCAATTGCAATAACTTTTTGTAGCCATGCCTAATGTCCGCACAATTAATCACATACTCATACCATTCATGCAACACCCTCTCTAACATTCCCATTGCTCTGCCCCTAAGCACGTTATGCTCTCCGGTGTCCAACACATCCCATTCGCGTAATGCATATAACCCATCAACATAGCATATCATTTCCACATGCACTTCTTCTTACTAGTTACATACCCCTCTCCATTCCCTCAAAATACGATGTTAAACCTTTCCACACACCAACTCAAGTGCTACTCCTTCTTTCTCACACACAAGCCCCATTGACCAAGCTCCCTTACTCACGTGACCAAGGCAAATATAGGCTTGGTCAAAATGAATGTGGTCATTTCCACTCCACCACGAAGCCTACATATTCACATGCATATGCATGCACATATTTTTGTGGTGTTGTTTTTTTTTACACACTAGATCACAGAAGAACTGCTATATAAAATTCAGTGAAATGTGGGTTTCAAAGGATATTTGTGTTTCAGTTTGCATCTGGGAAGTGTGAAACAAGTATGCTGGTTTTTAAGTGAAAACTGTGGAGGAGGAGGAGGTGCACAAGGCAAGTGTGGCACAAAAAACTACACAACTTTTGGTCTCACACTTGCAGGAGGCAGCTAACTTGTGTGAGAATGCAGGACCAAAAATGGGACATTCTGGGATCCAATCAGAAGCAGGGATGGCTTCTGTAATTCTGGGGTGTCCCAGTCAAATTGGGATGGTTGGAGGATATGCAGATCCAGCAGACCCTCATCCAGTGACTGGTAAGGAGCACCATAGCTTCTGACCTCTGAACCAAGGGAATCTTGAGTGACCAAGTTAGGTGGGTCAGATGGGGTGGAAACTAGACCAGTATGACATATTACTTCAAATGTCTTGGTCTCAAACACTTGAGAACTTTAAAGGTTTAAATTACATTCACCACCTCAGTTAAGATAGAGCTATTTCAAATAAAACATAGAATCATAGAATTGTAGAGTTGGAAGGGACTCCAAGGGTCATCTAGTCCAACCACTGCAATTCAGGACTCCTGCCCACAGCTGTCACTGGGTGCACTCGAACCACTAACCTTCTGGTTAATGGCCAGATGCACTGACCCATTGCACCACAGGAGAGACTAAATATTTGAAATGCATTTCCTTATTCTTCTCCCTTTCTATTTGCTTTATTTTGTATTTTGGGATTGAAGCTCATCAAACTCACCATCCAAGTACAACCTTGAGATCGGGTGCTCCCCCACCCTTGAGACATTTTTCTAATGTTATTATAAATAATATTGGTTTCTCTTGAACTTTTTGGAAGTTGAGTGTTTAGTGATGCTCCTCCTCCTTTTTCAAACTTATCCCCACTCCAACATGGGCATATCCCAAGAGGTTAATTAGCCAGTGAGTGTCTTCTTCTTGCTTTCTTAATATGTAATTACAGTCTAGATAAGAAGCACTGACTATGACAGAGAATCAGCCATTGTCACTGTAACTGATCCATCAGTATGATCAGTGAAATCTTCATCTTATTACCTGAAGAACGTGAATTTCATAATATAGCAAAATGCCTTTGCAAACATCAATTGTATACTGTTCCTATCTAAAGATTAGAAACCACTGGTAAGTAGTTGAAGTTTTCCCCTGTGTTGGATTCCAGAATAGCATTTCCTGCACATGCTGAATACACAATTATTGTGATATAAAAGCAACTCTACTATGGTGACTAAATGCAAAAGAGGGCAGTGCTTTTATGTCTCTTAACTGTTGTATAGAAACAGTGTTGTGTCTTCTCTCAACATTTCAGTACAGTGGTACCTCGGGTTACATACGCTTCAGGTTACATACGCTTCAGGTTACAGACTCCGCTAACCCAGAAATAGTGTTTCAGATTAAGAACTTTGCTTCAGGATGAGAACAGAAATCGTGCTCCAGCAGCGTGGCAGCAGCGGGAGGCCCCATTAGCTAAAGTGGTGCTTCAGGTTAAGAACAGTTTCAGGTTAATAACGGACCTCCGGAACGAATTAAGTACTTAACCTGAGGTACCACTGTATTTGTACATGCTTGGTTGTGCCCATTACAAATTCTTTTTTTGACAAATATTCATGGCAGAAGTGACCTTTCCCTCTTTCACATCTAATCAATCGGAGCTCTGTTGGGATTTTAATAGGGGCTTCTCTAAGCTTACACCTGACACTTTTAAATATCAAAATGTGTTTTTGGGAAACAGCTTTACAGAATTTCATTTCAAGGCATTCAGTGGGAAAGCAGTCACAACAATTCCTGTGGAGAATGCTTATTAATCCTTAACAAGCAGAGGATTTTGCAGAGATCATACAAAGGATGTAGCTTTGGCCCACCTGGAAGACTTGCTGAGCACAGGGAAATGATCCTGTACAAGACAATGCAACTATTTTTTTTAATTTCAACTTGGCCAATTGTAAAAGGAGAAACAATAGGGCAGCTGAGTCTGTGCCAGAGATCCATCCTCCTAACACTTGTGCCCCTGCAGCTTACATGGATTGGATGGAGTGATGTAGGGTGGCAGTGAGGTTGGGGATGTGTCAGTGAAATGATGGAATCAATGCAGTGCTCCTGCCAATGCGCCAGTGCATCCCAAACCTTACACCTGCCCTGCCTCCTCCCAATCTGTATTAGCTGAAGTGATGTAGGTGTTGGGAAGATGGATCCAATGCATCACCCCACCACAATGTGCTCCCAACAATGCCTACCACCTGCTCCTAAATCCTGCCACTGTATGTCCCCTTCACCTGGTAAACTAGCAAGCAGGAGTGTCCAAAAGGCACGGGAGAAGAAATTCAAGGGAGCCTCACACAAGGGAGGAAAGAACCTGGGAGGCATGAATGGGAGGACGACTTGTCCCACTTCCCATAAACCTGGTGAATGGGCTTTGAAGTGGGATGTGCAAATCAATAGTTTCTCCCTTGTGCCTTCTGACCACCTTGGGGGCTCTGTTTACATACAAGAATGAGGACATTGTTGGGGCATTGACCCTTTGCTGGTCATGGTAAAAGCCTGACATTGCTATCTTCCAGAAATGGCCCTAGATAACCTATTAAAACCTTTGAATTTACCTGTCTTGCCCATATCTTGCTTCTTTTACATCTTAGGTTGACCACAAAGGGGCCATTATTTTATCTCAAATCAAGAAGCTTGAACACACATTTATACTCTATACATAACTTCTCAGTGTATAACTTGAACACTGCTAATAATATATTTTTTTAAATCCAAGTTTCAATGTCTCCCCATCCCCTACCCAAACTGTTTTAACTCATGGTGAGGTCTAGCAGTGAGAGCTTTGGGTTGTCAACTAGCATCAGAGGGATTAAATAAGAGCACAATAACATATGGAGAACTCTGATGAATCCGACTAAAGGTCTATCTAGTCAGTGTCTAATTTCCCATAATGGCCAACAAGATGTCTCTGGGAAGCCCACAAGCAGCATATGAGTGCAACAGTCACCTCCTCTTGTCCTTTCTCTGTGACTTGTACTCATGGGCATACTGCCTTTGATCCTGAAGGCAGTATACAACCCTCTTAACTAGGAGGTTGTGATTTAATGACTATTGCTTACAATTGATGGGAAAAATTAATACCTGTATCGTTCCCACAAACTGTATATTCTGTAATGGATGCATAAGAATCCATAGAAAGACGGTCCTGGTGAATAAAGAAGACTCTTGTATTCCCTCCTGTGCAATGATATTATAACTTCAGCTATATGGCCCTTGCTTATGTAATATTGACTCTCCTGATGATTGTTCCTGTTTGTATTTGTACTTGCAAAACAAAGAAAACAATGATCACACCCCACCTCATCTCTTCTATTCCACCAGATGAAAACCATGAAGAAAGAGGAGGAGAGAAATGAAACCATCATAGCAGAATTTATCCTTCTTGGTTTTGGAGACATCCAGGAACTCCAGATTTTTCTATTTATGCTGTTTCTAATTATATACGTTATGACCATGGTTGGGAACATCCTCATTGTTGTACTAGTTGTGCTTGATCAAAGCTTACACACACCCATGTATTTCTTCCTTGGGAATCTGTCTTGCTTGGAGACCTGCTACAGTTCAACCATTGTCCCTAGAATGCTGGCCAGTTTCTTAACCAAGAACCAAAGTGTTTCGGTGAATGGGTGCATTGTGCAATTGTGGGTTTTTGGTTTCTTGATAGCAGCAGAGTGCTTCCTCCTGACAGCAATGTCCTACGATCGCTATGTTGCAATATGCAGGCCCTTGCATTATCCATTTCTTATGAATTTCAAAATCTGCCTCCAGCTGGTGGCTGGTTCTTGGATCGGCAGTTTTGTGGTAAACATGATCTTGTTAATTTTTACACTGCAGTTAACCTTCTGCGGCTACAGTGTTATTGATCATTTCTTTTGTGATTTCATTCCAATAGTGAATGTTGCCTGCAGTGACACACATCAAATAAAAGTTCTGTCATTTGCTCTGACCTCCATCTGCACACTGCCACCATTCAGTATAACAATAGCATCCTATGGGTGCATCATTAATGCCATTCTTGGAATCCCGTCCTCCACAGGAAGACAAAAGGCCTTCTCTACCTGCTCTTCTCATCTCATTGTGGTGACCATTTTCTATGGCACCATCATCGCTGTGTACATTTTGCCAGACACCAACCAACTGAGAGAGCTGAACAAAGTCTTCTCTGTCTTTTACACAACATTGACACCTCTCCTCAATCCTCTAATATATAGTCTGAGGAACAAAGAGGTGAAGGAGGCCTTGAGGAAAGTAGCTTACAAATATGCACATATAAGAGTTTATTAAAGCCATGATTTCAAACTGAATGACGAAGCCCTTTTCTATTACAAAGGCATCATTTTGTACTGGATGTAGGTCTTCTTCTGAACTAAACAAGTGCAACCCTTGGAAGTAACTGAATGGAACATTCTCAGGGGACTCTCATGCACTCAACTTTCAGCTCTCTGTGGAAAGATTTGGATCCAAATAGAACAATATGAATGTAAATCTTTCTAAGTGTTGAAAAACACATGTTACGCAACCTCTAAACATTGCATATGTACCTTACTTAGAACAAATTGTTATTCCTTTCATGCTATATGGAGGTTGAACTGGTGTTTGTTAAGCATCTGTAGTGTGACTTCAATGGACTACTGTTCTGACCAGCAAAATGAAACATAGAATCATTAAATTGGAAGAGGTCATGTAGTTCAACCCCTTGCAATCCAGGTATCACAACATGCAGTCCTCCACCCAATTTGAAACCATAACGGACCCTGCTTAGACATTAGTTTATACCACAATGCATAAATTTTTAGTGCATACTAATGACTGGAAGAGTTTTTCTTCTAAGAATACCACATTTGAGGTAATTTTGCTTAAAACCCCTTTGGATAGTCAGCATGTGATAAAAAAAATGTTCAAAACAATTCTCAGAAAAATGTCTTCTGAGAAATGTTGGGTCAGTTCTAAGAAATGTTCAGCTTCCCTTATCATTCCCGATGAGATGTGCTTCATTGAGTTATTCCTCAAAGAGATATTCAATCAACACGGTGTTTAAAAGCAAATTTTTCTTAAGAGACTAATTACGGCATAATGCCCACTGCTTCTCACACATCCCTTTGGCAGTTATAGCCTAAATAAGAAGCTTTGAGCATGAAGACGTGATCTGGTTTTAAATTCAACTGATCCATGAGATTGACTGATGAATCTTAGAATCTCAATGCCTACAGAACATGACTTTGAAAAGCAATCAAGCAGCCATAGTCAAGAGACCTTTGTGTTTCTAATCCTAAAATTAAATATTAGGAAGCAGAAGGGAGCATTCCAAGATTTTGACTGCCTTGAATTTCAGGTGAGAATTACATGCACAGGCTGAATGCATGATTATTCCCATCACTGCGATATAAAGGCTACTACTATACCGACCAGTTTGCTGTCAGACTCAGGTGTGTCTTTGATCATCCATTTAGCATTGTGACATGCTCAGCAGTGGCATCATAATTCCTTCTTTGTTGACACCTTGTGAAAATGCAAGAGCCCTGTACTCCTTTGTATACAATCAACCCAGAGCACCACCAGGATTTATAGAGGGACTTTGTTAATCACCCAATTGCTACAAGAGCCTTGTTCTCTTCCTATCTAGGCACTCTAAGCTAGGATATGGGAAAGCTTTGGGTCTCCAATGTTGATGATCTACAGCTCCCATCAAGCTGATGTTGGTAGGAGCTGATGGGAGTTGAACAACATCTGGAGGACCACAGTTTCCCCATTCCTATCCTTCCATAATGGACCAATATGCAACCTGCCTCTTCAGTTATCTAAATTTCAGTGGATAAATGATAAAGCAGCCTTTGCTTAGATACACCTGGATCTGGATATATCTGGAAGGTAAGATAGAAAGTAGATGCTATATAGCATAAAAAATTATGTTGATGTGGGTGCAAGCTTTTAATAGTCACAAAGCTCCTTGCTAAAGCTGGGTAACAGCTAACAGTTCACTGATCTACAAGTGCAAATATTTGAGTTATTTGAATTATTTCACTGTGTCTGTTGGTAATTTACACATGTTCTGATAATTCTGATTATTGATGGCATTGCATTTCAGAGGATAACTATATCTTGCAGCTATCACTTAGAGGTGTTGGTGATTAAATGGTATATAAAACCTGTTAAATAAAATAATAAATACCTTGCGTCACTTGACCAACCCAGTTTATAACCACAGATTATTTTGACATGTTTGTTCCATCAATAAATTCATGTGGTTTCACCCTGACATAATTCGGAATCATCCAAAAGACAAAGTTATTTTGTTTCTCATGTTCTTTAGTTGTGGGAGCATGGTTGCATTTCCTGACTGATCCAGGGTGAGCGGGGTCACTAAAATTCTGGAGCCATGATTGCCTGGTTGATATTTTGTAAAGCATTTAAGTTGGTCTCAGGCTGCCTTATTAGGAAGAAGGATGATATCATTTGTATAGCCTTTATGCCAAAAATCGTAATACACTTGCAATATCAGAAAGGCAGCAATCTTTGCATTATGGGTTTCTATCCACCGAGTGGCTCCCTCAGCCATTTTATAAAGGGGTGCCTTATTTCCAGAAAAAGCAGGCAGGTTAATCTAAGCACTCAAATTCAAAACAGTTCACCTTTGTCCTTGTTTTTCTTATATCATGGGAATAATTTAAGCGAGACTTGGAGGAACAAATACCTGAATAGGACTATTGGGAGACTTGAATCCAGGACGAGATCCCTTTAATTCAGATGGGGGCAAATACTAGAATAACATGAGGGGAGAGTAATATTGATTGCACAAATTGTTCTTCTTCCCCTTCAACAGATTAAAAGGATGTTGACATTAGAGAGGAGAAATGAAACCACCATTACAGAATTTGTCCTTCATGGCTTTGGAGAACTCCAGGAGTTACATATTCTTCTCTTTGTGCTGTTTCTAATCATCTACATCATGACGATGGCTGGGAACCTGATCATTGTCACATTGGTTGTGACTGATCAGCACCTCCACACCCCCATGTACTTCTTCCTGGGCAACTTGTCTTGCTTGGAGACCTGCTATAGCTCGACCATCCTCCCCAGAATTCTGGCCAGTTTATTAAGCAAAAACCCAGGTGTATCCGTTAATGGCTGCATTGTGCAATTATGGGCATTTGTTTTCTTAGCAGTAACTGAGTGCTATCTCCTGGCAGCAATGTCTTATGACCGTTACATAGCAATATGCCGCCCCTTGCATTATTCTGTCCTTATGAATTTCAAGGTTTGTCTCCAGCTGGTAGCTGGGTCTTGGATTGGCAGTTTTGTCATAGACACAATATTGTTAGGTTTTATACTACAGGTAACCTTCTGTGGCCACAATGTGATTGAGCATTTCTTTTGTGATTTCATTCCGATGATGAACCTGGCCTGCAGTGATGCAAGTCAGGTGAAACTGGTATCGGCTGTTCTGACTTCTATCTCTACCCTGCCACCATTCGTTCTGACTATAGCATCATACGTATGCATCATCACTGCCATTCTTGGCATCCCATCCACCACAGGAAGGCAAAAGGCTTTCTCCACTTGCTCTTCCCATCTCATTGTGGTGACCATTTTCTATGGCTCTCTCACCATTGTGTATCTTTTACAAGACAACAATCAACTGAGAACACTCAATAAGGTATTCTCTATCTTTTATACCATCTTGACACCTCTGCTTAATCCCCTTATATACAGCCTGAGGAACAAAGAGGTGAAGGAGGCCTTAAGGAGAACAGCCAACAAATGTGCTAACTGTATAAGAGTTCATTGAATTTTGTTTTCTTTTTCTCTCCCCCCCCCCCCGATTCTAACAAAAATATTCTCCCATTTACTCCAATGTAAATCTGAAACACTAAAGTCAACGGGGTTTTACTCCAGATTTAGAAACAGCAGCGATTAATGATCTTCCTAACATGTAGCCTTGGAAGCAGCGAGCATTCAGGTAGCACTTTTCAAATCCATATGCTAATTCCTATCAAGTTGGTTCTGGAGCTGTGCTATATTTGGTCATTTATTTTAAGTATATATATATATATATATATATGCTGCCAACCTTAAGAAAAAAAAATAATGGTGGTAAACAGCAACACATCAAAAATAAACTTACAACCAAATGCAACCAAATGCAAAATGCCATGGAGACTCATCACCACTGCCACTTCTTCCTCCAGCACCATTGTGTCACATGAAGTTACAGGCTACTTTACAAACCACCTCATGCATTGTGTGTTGTTGTCTGTAAAGAATCCCCAACATTCAAGATCCTGACTGTGTGTATATGCACCACATGACTGGGGCACCTGATTGTGCATTTCTCCTGATTGTGCAGTGCATCTTCCTTTGAGCAGGAGCTTAGACATTGGGGTTTCTTTTCATGCAACCCTGTGCAACATGTGTTTGTTGAAGGAAGAAGATGTCACTGGAGAGACACTGCCTGGCTGTGAGTGCTGAAGAGCCCAGACTCACTGGAATAACTCTGGGGTTGGGTCAAATGTCAAAAATGTTTTTAAATAGTTTTTAATTTGTGCTGTTTTAAATTTCGGTTTTATGGTTTGCTTTTTGCTTTTTGGGGGCGGGATTAACATTTAGTTGCAGTTGGGTATTAGTTTAATTTTTAGTAGAACTGTGAATTTTTTGTTTTGTTTTTTGATTAGTTTCTATTGTTTTATATAGTTTGTATTCTGTTCTTAAGGGGGGAGAGTCAGGGCTGCCTGGGAGTAGGCCCCAGCCAACAGTGATCTCAGTGATCACGGGTAGGAGGAGGAGTTATGCTAAGACCAGACCATGTCATTACTGAGGAGGCAGGTTTTGTTGTTGTTTGAAGACTATCCCTGCCTTCGAGTCTGGTATTGACCGGATGGAAATCCAAGAAGGGACCTCTTTTAAAAAAACTCTGTGAGTTCAATCAAATTCTTTATTTGATCATCTCTTGCACCTCTTATTAAATCCCCTCATTGCTGTCGACTTGGGTATCATTTTTTGCCACCCTTCCCTTGTCACTTGTAAAATCCATAGTAAAACATACTTCTGGAAGTGTTACGCAAGGAGAGAGTCACATATTGTATTAATGAAAATTCCTCTCCATCATTCTTCCCACTTTGTATAGAAACTAGCTACAAAGTTTGGAAGGCCAGAGGTAACCTAGAGGGAAACCAAGAACACCTGCTAGTCTCCACCTCCCATGTAGATAACAGGAAGAAGATCCATGGTAAAATATCCATGTCTCATAGATTTACAATATCTTCATGGCTCCCCATGGCATTTCAAAAGCCCTAAATGCCTAATATCTTTCAGGAAGACAGGGCATTTAGCCTTCTAAAAAAACCAATTGACCTCAGTTTGGGGAGAATCGTTGGCATAAAATCCACACTGAGGTTTTAAGACTCATTGCTTCTCACACTTTCTTTCCCTTGCAAGTACTCTGCACTCAATTCTAAGAAGAAACGAACTTGTAGAACACATCTTATCTCGGCTAATATTCCTTTTCCAATCTAGATGGTCCTTCTGTGAACTCCTCTTTCTTTACTTTTACCCTGTTAGGATTTTGGGGTGTTTTGGTATGGTTTTAGTATGGCAGTTTGATCAAACTGCGGGAGGCAGTGGAGGACAGAAGTGCCTGGCGTGCTCTGGTCCACGGGGTCACGAAGAGTCGGACACGACTAAACGACTAAACAACAACAACAAGTATGGCTTCAGGGAGACATTTCAGAATTGAGGGGAATCTATCATTGTACATGTGTAATATTGTGAAAAGCTTGAAAACAGACCTTTGTGTTATAATATGAATACTTATAAATTAACAAATAACTAAAAATAGGAATCAAGTGATGTATATTCCAATGTATATTGTCACTCATTCCGTATCACATGAAATTGCATGTGACATGGTGATTATTGCTTGAACTGTTTATCATTTGGTACACTATAGAATGTTTTTACACGTAAAAATACAAACACATACCACACATTCCCATGAGTCTTTTCTTCTGAGTTTGATTACACTCCTGGGAGTAATGGAAGTAAATATGGATAAAATCCAGTGCAGCATCTCAGTATAGAGAGCAGTAAGAGAAATTGCCTCCCAAACAGCTATGGGGAGAGAATGGTGTGATGCATTGAAAAGGCAAATCACATTGGCTGCCCAGAAAAACAACACAGATCACAACCAGGCATGAAAACGAAGCATGTAAACACTTGCATGAAATCACCCAAGATCTGCCCACAAACAGCTTGGTAAGTCTATTTGATTAGATGACTTTTCAATTATTTTATTCATGACCTCTTGGATAAACTTTGAAGTGTACACAGTTCAGGAAGATCTCGAAACCAGAGTTTTACAATGCAAAAGCCCATGCTCAGTTTGTCACAGCCAGGGTTAATGGCTAGGAATAGCAGACATTTCACATATTTTATTACTGTAAATTCCTTGGGGGTCTCTTTTATTGTGAGAAGTGATTTATGAATTCAGTGAACGTAATGAAACATCTAGAAGCAGAACCTTGAAGGCATAACATACCTACTGGATAAAAAGCAAATTTTATCACAAGTTAAATATATTTATGGGCTTCCTAGTAAAAAATCTGCAAAGGTCAGATGTGCAGAATAGCCACCATGTCACCAATAATTATATATTTTCATTCATTAAAGAGAGTATTCTGGCCTGCACATCCTCATTCCACATAGAAGAGGCCAGGTCAGCCTGTGTCGGTCTTAGCAAATGCATACTGGAAATGTGACATGGACAAAAACTGTTAAATCTCTATCACATGAAATTCCATGTAACATGGAGATAACTAATTGTGCCTCCTTTCTTAAATAAAGGTTTATAAAGATAAATATTTAAATAAAATAGGGACATGGGTGGTGCTGTGGTCTAAACCACTGAGCCTCTTGGATTTGTCAATCGGAAGGTTGGTGGTTTGAATCCCTGCAATGGAGTGAGCTCCCGTTGCTCTGTCCCAGCTCCTGCCAACCTAGCAGTTTGAAAGCATGCCAGTGCAAGTGGATAAATAGGTACTGCTGCTGCAGCAGGTAGGTAAACAGTGTTTCTGTGCACTCTGGCTTCCATCACGGTGTTCCATTGTGCCAGAAGTGGTTTAGTCATGCTGGCCACATGACCCAGAAAGCTGTCTCTGGACAAACACCAGCTCCCTCCACCTGAAAGCGAGATGAGCTGCACAACCCCATAGTCACCTTTGACTAGACTTAACCGTCCAGGGGTCCTTTACCTTTTACTTTACCTTTCTTAAATGTGTTTGCTCCTCTTTGCAGGAACCACACACAAGCACTATGTTCAACCAGTCATCTGGAGTGGTGGAATTCCTTCTGTATGGATTCTCTGATACTCAGGAATGGGAGACATTTCATTTCATTACGTTCCTGGTCATTTATCTGATGGCTGTCACTGAAAACCTTCTCATCATCACAGTCATCACCTGCAGTCCTCAGCTTCACAAACCCATGTACTTCTTTCTAGCCAATCTGGCATTCCAAGACCTTGGCTCCATATCTGTTTCAGTTCCCAAATCCTTGTCAAATTCCCTGATGAACACCAATACCATTTCATACAATGGATGCATCTGCCAGGTTTTCTACTTTATGTTCTTCACTGTATCTCATTTTTTCCTCCTTGGCATCATGGCATATGACCGCTACTTTGCTATCTGCAATCCTCTGCACTATGAGACTGCGATGAACAGAAAAGCATGTGTCAAAATGGCAATCAGTGCATGGATTACTGGGCTTATCTATTCCACAGTATATACTGGCAGTACATTCACAACTGAGTTCTGTTCTAATGACATCAGTCAGTTTTTCTGTGAAATTCCACAGTTATTCAAAATTGCTTGCTCTGATTCATATCTCATCGCATTTTGGGTTATTTGTGTTGGTGCGTTTCTGGCTTTTACATACTTTGCTCTGATAGTTTATTCTTATGTTCAGATCTTCAGGGCAGTTCTCAGAATTCCTTCTGCCCAGGGAAAGGAAAAGGCCTTCTCAACTTGCTTGCCACACCTTATTGTAATATCTGTATATTTTGCCAGTGGTTCATTTGCCTATCTAAAGCCAACTTCTGGGTCCCCATCAGCCATGGATCTTGTGGCTTCTATGTTCTACTGCATGTTGCCTCCAGTTATAAACCCAATAATCTATAGTATTCGGAATAGGCAACTGAAATCAGCATTGTGGAAGTTGACTGCAAAATTTTTCACGCCAATTTTTCTTCCCCAATTTGCAATATGTTTCTCTTCCTGTAAAAATATAGTAAAACATTTTTAAACATACAGATAAAACCTGTGTTGAAATCTTTATTTTCATTTCAGTTGCAAATCTTTTGAGAACACACTTGCTAATTAATAGCAATTGTTGTTGTTTAGTCGTTTAGTCATGTCCGTCTCTCCGTGACCACATGGACCAGAGCACGCCAGGTACTCCTGTCTTCCACTGCCTCCCGCAGTTTGGTCAAACTCATGCTGGTAGCTTCGAGAACACTATCCAACCATCTCGTCCTCCGTCTTCCCCTTCTCCTTGTGCCCTCCATCTTTCCCAACATCAGGGTCTTTTCCAGGGAGTCTTTTCTCATGAGGTGGCCAAAGTATTGGAGCCTCAGCTTCAGGATCTGTCCTTCCAGTGAGCACTCAGGACTGATTTCCTTAAGAATGGATAGGTTTGGTCTTTTTGCAGTCCATGGGACTCTCAAGAGTCTCCTCCAGCACCATAATTCAAAAGCATCAATTCTTCGGTGATCAGCCTTCTTTATGGTCCAGCTCTCACTTCCATACATCACTACTGGGAAAACCATAGCTTTAACTATACGGACCTTTGTTGGCAAGGTGATGTCTCTGCTTTTTAAGATGTTGTCTAATAGATTCAGAAATTGATCTATAATTTCTGTGCTCCATTAGAGTAATAAACTGTTATATAGGTTCAGCAATAGCTCTTACTATTTTCATGCTCTGTTGCAGAGGGGATTTTTTTTAGTTAATTTACTTGTTTTGTACTTATTTTCACACATATTTTTATGTTGATTCTGCTGAATTGTGCCAGGTCTATGGCAAGTTAGAACTATGCTTTCAGCTTGATTGTATGTGTGATTGTATTGGCCTAATACCGTATTGGCCTGAATATAAGCTGCACTTTCCCCCCAAATTCTGACCATGAAAGGTTAAAGTGCGGTTCAATTTGCAACCTTACAAAAATTGCCTTTTATGATATTGCTGCTGAAACAGACACATGGTAAAAGGGAACAAACAAAAAAAAAGTTTTATTGCCGATTTGCAAGCTTGAGACTGTTGTGGAATTAATTCTAATGTCATTCATCGCTTTCACTTGCGGGTCCTTTCTAGTACCAGTAGGGTTTTCTTCTACATCTGCCATTTACGGCTGTGAGTGCCTGCGGAATTTTAAGGGAGGGGCTTCTATTCGGGTATTGTTTTTTTACTCCCCTCCATTGAATGTTAAAGGTGTGGCTTATTTGTGGGTGCGCCTTATATTTGGGCCAATATGGTAAATCTCTATTCAGCAGATTTCTGCAAGCAGAACACTTCCTTGATTGACAGAATGTGATTGTCCTCAGACTCATGTACGTTAGGGGAGATGGCCCCATGGAAAGTGGACTTTCTATATTCACAGAGTTGCAAACATTCTGGGAAACATGAGCTACAAACCACCCACCAAGTCCAGTTTTTGCTTTGAGTCATAGCAAAGCATAAAAAAGTGGGCAGGTGGATTGGGAGATCTGGTGAAGGGTAAGAGAACAGGGCTCCCCAGAGGCTCTGTGGTCTTAATTACCCACGGCCATGCCTCCCACAGGTCCTGATTGGACAGTGGGGCCACCCCTAGGTGGGTTCCGGCCAGCACCAGTGATGTGGCCCAGACGGCAACAAGAGAGGCGTCAATCTCCCTTCCACCAGAACACTGCAGGGCCCCCGATACTTGGACACAACAGCGCCCACCAGAAAAAAGGTGAGCGGATTTCTCAGATACATTTGTACCTTGGATCCCAAATGCCTTGGAGTCGAATATTTTGGCTCCTGAACTCCGCAAACCCGGAAATGAATGTTCCCATTTGTGAATGTTCTGCGGAACCCGAACGTCTGGTGTGGCTTCCGCAACTTTCGATTGGCTACAGGAACTTACTGCAGGCAATTGGAAGCTGCGCTTTGGTTTCCAAAAGTTTTGGAAGTCAAACGGACTTCCAGAATGGATTCTGTTCGACTTCCAAGGTACGACTGTATTTAGAACAAGCTTTTTAAGGCTTGCACCTTTTCAAAATCTTTTAACACCCTGTAGCTATCAAAAAGAAAGGATATTTAATGAATTTTAAAAATAATTTAGCCTCACCTTGAGGGAATGTTCAGGGTGGCAATAGAGGATATATTATTTATTAATATCCTTCCTAACTTGCGCTAGCATGTTCCTTTACTTATCAGAGTGCATTCCCCTTTACACAGCAGAAAACTTGTTGCAGGCTCATTAGAACCTCTTACTATTATGCAATTCAATCTGCCTCAGATTGAACTGTATGTTCCTGGTAAGATACCCTTTTAAATCCCTCCTTAAAGAATAAAGACACCACAGTCTTATTCATAAGCAATAAAAAGAAAGTTTACTCACGATCAGGCAGAGCACAGTGTGATGCCTGAAGGCAGGCTTTAGGCTTAAAGTTACAAACGTATAAAAACAGGTTTACCCCATAAGGGAAGTGACCTGAGGGACTGCTTGGCTGGCAGCCAGCAGTTCATTCCAACAAGTTCGCAGGACAAAAGGAAGATGGAAAAGAGAGAGAGTGGCAGCATGCCTTGTCCTTTTACCAGGTCTGGAAAGGTCACACCCACCCACTAGTTACATGCAAGGAAGGATGTTCCAGGGCAGGAGGAACAGGAAGTTTTGACTGGCTCAACCAAACATTCCATTGCATGTCCACTCTAGGAAAACAAGGAATGTTGTACTTGGCTGATCTCAGTGGATTAACATCCCACACACCTTGGGTATAAAAGCTAATGTTTCTTGCCATAGCAAAAAGGTGTTTTCTCTCTCTGAAATACCTTCACAGTGAGGTAGTAAGACTTGTTGCTTTTCTCACAAAAACTGGGCACTCAAATCTGAGGAGAACAGATAATTGAACATCACAACCACAGCATAAATTATATAGAATAATTAAGAAATCATCAGTAAAATAATTACAAATCACCAGTATAACAACCACCTTCTATAGAACACTATTAAGAAAGCTACTAAAAGAAATTAAGCTAAATAGAACAACCATAACAAAGGTCATATTATAAGATCCTCAAGGCACTATAGCTGCAGGTAGCAACGAAGTCAGAAAATGAACAGATTGTGTTAGATTTTAGCAGGAGTATACTTATGTTGTCCACATGGATCAGAGGCGTGCAGTGAATCTTTTTAAGGGGATACATTAGGGCTGGAGGTGCCAGCTTTTAAGGGTGATTTGGGGCAGGGGCAACATCTGTGTGTGAGCATCACCCCTCCTTCCCTAAGCCGGACAGAAGCTTCTCCAGCTTTGGGAAGGAAGTGCCTGGCTTTAGTACTTTAATACTCTCATTTACCAGGAATATTGAGGGGACAAGCCTAGTTCCCTGGTCCACTGACTGCCTGCAATGGACACGGATCAACAATATTCAAAGTTTAGTTGGGAAGTATAAGACAAGGGGCTAAACAAAAGATTTATGGATGCAAACATTTTCCTAAGGGATTTATATTTGAAGCAGGGCTGGAACTCTTATTAGGCAAAGTGAGGGGGCCACTCCAGTTTTGTTGGTCAAATACAGTGGTACCTCGGGTTACATATGCTTCAGGTTACATATGCTTCAGGTTACAGACTCCGCTAACCCAGAAATAGTACCTCGGGTTAAGAACTTTGCTTCAGGATGAGAACAGAAATCGTGCTCTGGTGGTGTGGCAGCAGCGGGAGGCCCCATTAGCTAAAGTGGTGCTTCAGGTTAAGAACAGTTTCACGTTAAGAACAGACCTCCGGAACGAATTAAGTACTTAACCCAAGGTACCATTGTAGTGACATCAAAATGCTATTTATTTCATTTTAAATCATTGCCAGAGTGCAGAAGGGGAATTTGTAAAGGGTTTTCTGGTGTGTGCTTTTGCTTCAGGTGCCCAAATTTCTTAATTTGGCTTTTTTTTGGTAAAGAAGTCTATCCCACTGGAATTCTGCACATACTGTTTTATTTTGAACAGTGTGGATGGTACTGTCACACAGAGATAGCTGCTGTAGTTCAAGCAAAGTGTAGTTGGTGATCCACACCAAATATCCTCCCCATTGCTGGGTTCATAACTGGTGGCAACATGCAACAAACATAGACGCCACAAGATCTGTCTATATGTTGTGTATCTTATTTGCTGGTTCTGTATACAAATTATCCAATGGCCTATTCTATTCAAAGATTCTTGAAGCAGTAACTTCCGGTTTGCTGCGGAAGGAATGGCAGTGTGTTTCAGATTGTCCGCTTAAGGGACGACCATTTCGGGCTGGTTTGAGCAGTGGGGAGAGTGCTAGGATTCAGTACCCCCCCCAAACACTCCACGGAAGAGTGGGGCATCGAGGGGACTGGCAGGGTGAGAGGAAACTCATTGTGATCCTCCCTTTGAACTCACCTCTGTCTCAGCAGCAAGTGGGGGAGAGGGAGGGAAAAGCAATTTGAGTTCGCTCAATTCAGCACCAGAGCACCCATCAGCCATAGTCACAAGCTGCCGTCGAAAGCAGCAGATCTTCCAATCAAGGTAATGAATAGCCAAAAACTGTATAGAAGAAGTTAGGCACTAAAATTTAATTTAGCAAAAACGGAATCTGTCTATATGTCGTGTATCTTATTTGCTGGTTCTGTATACAAATTATCCAACGGCCTATTCTACTGAGAGATTCTTGAAGCAAACATTTTTTAAAAAAACATTCACAGACATTTTCCAGCAGTCCTCTGCTTTATACAATAGTTGAAATTAAAAGAATCAGCAATAGCTGTTATGTTATTACAATTTTTAAGAAAAATAAAAAATAAAGAACTTGGAACATGATAGATAGATATTATATTAATTATATTAATTATTATATTACATTATTGGAAATATTTTTAAAGCATCTTAGTGTTATAATGGAAATATTTATAAATGAATGAAAAAGAAACCAAGTGATGTATGTACCTCCATATATTGCTACTCAATCTACATATATCAGGTGAAATCCCATGTGACGCAGTGATTCTTGCTTGAAACTTTTATCATTTGGTATTCTAATAGAACACTTTTACATGTAAACAGTAAAATACACATGCATTCCACACATATGCCTGAGAATTTTCTTCTGAGTTTATTAGACTCCTGGGAATGGAGAAACATAATACAAATAAAAGTAATTACTGCATCTCCTTGTTCTGTTAGTCAGTGAGGAAAACTGTAACTGAGATCACCTCTTAAACAGTGATGGAGAGCTAAAGATGTGACAGATCATACTGGGTGAACAGAGAAAAGCAGAAAATGAGCAGACATAAAGCAGCAGCAACAACAACAACAACAAACACCACCACATAAAATTGTATTAAATTCTGCAGGATCTGCCCATGAATAGTTTGGTGAGTCAGTTTTTATGGATCACTTCTTAAGTGGCTTATTGAGTATCAACTTGATAAAAAACCAATTTATCACAAGTTAATTATACTGAGGGCAATTCTGGACAAAACTTTAAGGTTCAGGTGTGCTGAGAAGTTAACATGTTACCAATATCTGTTTTAACATTTTCAATAATTTGCATGAAGCACTGAAGAGAATGTGTCAGCTGCAGATTCTCTTTGCTGGTGCATGCTGGAAACCCGCGACATGGAAAAAGGCATTGAATGATGGGGATCACCGTGGTCTTTTGGATTATGATGGGAATTAATGCCTGCTTTACACACACACACACACACACACACACACACACACACACTTCTGGCAGTGGAAAAGGACAGTACTACCAAACAAGCAGGTTTTCAGGTCAGAATTTCATGCTTCCACTCAGCATAAGCACCCTCCCCCCAAAAAAACCCCAGCACCCCAGCCAGGACTGATGCACCACTCTTAGAGGTCAATTGACCATATCAAGAGCTCCACCCCTTAAGACACTTAGTGGAGTTGCAAATTTTCTAGCTGCATTATTCTGGGAGGAATGATTTCAGATGTCATCCCCACTCGAAGCTGGACCAAAGTAGAACAATGCTCCAGTGGCAGAAACAGAATGATTAGTTGCCACTTTTGTAGTGTTAGACTGGTTAACTTAGACCATCTCTACTGAATGGTTGTTGCAGGAAACGCTCACTGAAGCCTGAGACACTTTAGAACAAACCATCTGATTCAGTTAAATGTCTTGAGAATAATGTTTGAATGTTTTTGGCACTGTATTCAGCAGGTAAAGCCCTGCAACAAGATGGCTTGTGGAGGGTTTCTGCTCAGGGAAGCAGCAGCTGCCTTCCATTCCCTCTCACCTCAGTTTCTCTGTTTCTTTCCAACAGTCATCAGTAATATCCAAGGCAACACGATGACCAAGTACAACAATGCAATATCAATATAAACTCTTTATATAATCTATACGAAACATTGAGCAATATGAAATATATGAAATATGCACTATCTGCAAAACCAATTCATGCCTATAGTTTGTAATAATTTGAATTATTGTAAGTTACCATGTATTTGCATGTCATCGTTTCAATAATTCATTTGCAGTTTATGAAGCATTTCTGTATCCTTCTGCTGTGCTGAAGAAGAATTCCATGAAACAGTGGGTATATCCAGAATCACTGTTCATACATCTGTTTCGGACCACTTCTACAGCACTGGACGTCATAAAACAAAGCCTTGTTTTCATCAGATAAGAATCTAACCTATTCCTTCTTTCAGAGACTTGCATAGTCTACAAAGACTTTCAGAGACTTATAAGACTTATGTTTATTTGGTTCTATGTTTTCAAGAGAATCCATTAATAATAATAATAATAATAATAATAATAATAATATATTTTTTATTTATATCCCGCCATCCCCACCCGAAGCCGGGCTCAGGGCAGCTAACAACAATAAAATAATACAACATTCTAAAATCATTTCATTATAAAATTAATTCAAATCAAATTGATGGCAACCATTGGGCTAGAGTTCTGTGAAGATTGCCAAAGGAGGGAGTCAGGCTGTGCCCTGGCCAAAGGCTTGGTGGAACAGCTCTGTCTTGCAGGCCCTGCGGAAAGATGTCAAGTCTCTAAAGAGTAAAGATTTTGTGACTTTCAGAGATTTATAAGATTTCTGTTTATTTGGTTTTGCAGATAGTGCATATTTCATATATTTCATATTGCTCAATGTTTCGTATAGATTATATAAAGAGTTTATATTGATATTGCATTGTTGTACTTGGTCATCGTGTTGCCTTTGATATTACTGATAATTGTTTGCAACACAGGGGTTTAATTATTTGGTTACTTTTTCCAACAGTCAGTTAGCATTCCATGCTCAGTGAGCATCCTGAATAGTCCTCGAACTGTTTTCCACTTGATTCCCCCTTCATTTGCCAACCCCACTTCAGGTGCTGGTGTTTCACTAGTTTCATTTAATCCTTTCATGTCTCCACTGAGGAGCATTTATGTCTCTCTTCTGTCCCTGTGGAAATTGAACCAGAAACATGCCTAGCCAGATAATGAAACCAGTTGTTGTTGTTTGTGTATTGTTGCATGCCACCCCAGTCTCCAAGCAGTGCCTGTTTCCAGGGGCTCCAGGCACTTCCCCAGGGTTTGTGTTTTTTTTTCTGGATGAGGCTCAGCAGAGACTATGGTGTCTTTATGATATATGGTTTATTTATACATATCATAAAATTATAGAATTGTGGAGATGGAAGAGACCCTGAGGATCATCTAGTCCAAACCGCTGCAATACAGGGATCAAAAGTGCAACCGTGTCATTATCAGCACCATGCTCTAACCAACTGAGCTGTCCAGGCTCCATTAATATATTCAACCTAAGCCTACAATGGAGGGGTGCACAGCATTAACACCTCAAGAGGACAAAGGTTCTCTGGAACCACAGCCTATGTTTTAAACAGACATCAAACATTGCTCTGATTCTCTGGTTTCCCAGCTTCCTGCTTTGCGTCTAGCTCAGTCTCTGCTCTCAACTCTGCCTTTGTCCTTCTAACTAGCCACAAGTTGAGGGATGGGCCCCCATCAACAGCGCTACTTTGAAGATTGCTGGTATTAAGAGAGGCCTTGACTTGATGGAAGTTGCAGTTCTAGTTGAAGCACCCAGTGCTACAGTCTGTGTGCTGATATGAGATTAGTAAAGCAAACAGTCTAATTTTTCAGCGCCTAAATGAAATCGAGCATCAGAACAACTTGGCCACAATAAGGAAATTTTGCCCATGATATGACTATTTTCCACCTTCCCATTTCGACTTTCTGGCACCCTATCTCCATAACCTAGCAATTCTAAAATATAGACTTGCTTTTAGCCTCACAAGATTGAATGTATTGCCCTCGACTGTACTTGATGGAAGATTCCAACAGATTCCACACAAAAAATGTTTATGTCCCTGTGGAGATGGCAGTACCAAATCAGTGGCGCATGCCCTTCTGACTTGCACTCTTTATAAAGACTTTATGAATGAGATTATGACGCCTCTTTTATTATCCATTCCAGGTTGCCCAACCACTGCCACAGTGTCCTTTCTCTTGGCAGATCAAGATGACCAGATGACAGCAAGGGTTGCAAGGTTTTTAGCTGGGGCAATCAGATTAAGATACATTATTTGACTGCTGATTCAGGACCCTAAAGTGTGTTTTATATCATCAACTTTTTATTTCTGTTCTTTGTATATCACATTGTTGTTTTGTTGCTGTGGCCGATGGCTGACGCAAATAAAGGTTCATTCATTCATTCATTCATTCATTCATTCATTCAGTTTATGCAGTCTGGTGATGTGGAAATGGTCTTTCAGCTCTAAGGATGACTACATGGCCCCTTGAGCCTCTTGGCTTATTAAACTGAGCAGAGGAAATTTGACTACCTGGGTCTGGAGCATGTTTACCACTTTGTTGCATGAAGGAATAATCCCTCTACAATTGAGAGAGGTAGTGGTATAGCCACTACTAAAGAGCCAGTCCAGCATGCCTTGATTTGGGACTGTCCCTGGAATCTGACTCCTCATCTATAATACTAAATCAGGGTGACTTCTCTGCCTCTTCAGCCTCAAATGCAGTCTGCCCCAACACCATGGGCCCCTCTACAGGGTTGTCAGCAGGAAGCTCTTCCTACCCTCAATCCTGATCCAATTAGCCTCTCTACAGTGTTACTTTCAGACTCATGATGGTTTCAAGTAATATAATAGTGTTTTGAGCCTATATTTCAAGCTCTGAACTCCCGCTCTATGAACATCAGGAAGGGGCCATTGCTGGATTATTTTAGATGTCTGCTAAAACATTTTTCTTCTATCAGGGCTAACCAAACAGGTGGTTTTATTTTGTCTACTTGTTTTAACCTTTAATTGTTTTTATCTGGATACAAAAATAACTTTTTATTGGTTTTATCTTTATATATTTTTATAATATGTAATACTAACCACTTAGTGATTTCACATTTTTAAAGATGAACAACAAACATATGTTTATTGAAAGAGCAATGGTTTCTGGCTTACCTAGGTCAATCTATTTGATCACATGGGGAACCTGCATGAAAGCCTCTGATACTCTTCTCCTTTCTAAAATGGGTTTGTTTTCTCTTTGCAGGTACCAAATACCTACACAATGTTCAACCAATCATCAGGACTGATGGAATTCATTTTGCATAGATTCTCTGATACTCAGGAGATGGAGACATTCCGTTACATTGCTTTTCTGCTTATTTATTTGTTGGCTCTCATTGAAAACCTTCTCATCATCACAGTCATCTCTTGCAGTCCTCAGCTTCACAAACCCATGTACTTCTTTTTGGCCAATCTTGCATTCCAAGACATTGGCTCAATATCTGTCACAGTCCCCAAATCGTTGTCAAATTCCCTGATGAACACCAAGACTATTTCATACAGTGGATGCATCTGCCAGGTTTTCTTTCTCATCCTTTGTACTGGATCTCATTTGTTCATCCTTGGTATTATGGCATATGACCGCTATATTGCCATCTGCTGTCCACTGCACTATGAGACTATCATGAATAGAAAGACATGCATCCAACTGGCAATCTGCGCATGGGTTGGTGGGCTTCTGTATTCTACAACATACACAGGAAGCACATTCACACTTGAGTTCTGTTCCAATGAAATCAACCAGTTCTTCTGTGAAATCCCACAGTTATTTAAAATTGCTTGTCCTGATTCACATCTCATTGCATTTTGGATTATTTGTGTTGGTATATCTCTAGCCATTACTTACGTTGCTCTGATAGTTTATTCTTACGTTCAGATCTTCAGGGCAGTTCTAAGAATTCCTTCTGCCCAGGGAAAGGAAAAAGCCTTCTCAACTTGCTTGCCACATCTTATTGTAATATCCTTATTTATTGCCAGTGGTTCATTTGCCTATCTAAAGCCAACTTCTGGGTCCCCATCAGTCATCGATCTTGTGCTTTCTATGTTCTATTGCATGTTTCCTCCAGTTATGAACCCAATAATCTATAGCATACGGAATAGGCAACTGAAATCGGCATTGTGGAAGATGATGGCAAATCTATTCACCCTATTCTTCCCCAATTTGCAGCGTCTACAGCATGGATTACGTTTCTCTTTCTGTGCAAAAATAGTAAAACAATTGAAAATATTTTAAATCATTTATAATAAAGATAAAACCTAATGATTTTGAAATCATTATTTTCATGTTTGCTGCAGATATTGGAGAACACACATGCTAATTTATAACAATTCATAAACTATTATATAGGTTCAACAATGGATCTTATAATTTTTATGCTCTATAACAGAGTTGAAACATTTTAGTTAATTTAATTGTTTTCTACTTCTTTTCACACATATATTTATGTTGATTCTGGTGAATTGTGTCAGGTCCATGACAAGTCAGAACTATGCTTTCAGCTTGACTGTATGTGTGACTTTGCAGATCTGGGCCCACATTGGCCTAATAAATCTCTATTCAGCAGATTTCCGCAAGTAGAACACTTCCTTCATTGACGGAATGTGATTGTCCTCAGACTAATTTGAGTTAGCGGAGATGGCCCCATGGAAAGTGGAGTTTCTGGATTCACAGAGTTGCAAACATTTTGGGAAACGTGAACTACAAACCACCCACCAACTCCAGTTTTTTTACTTTAGAGGCATAGCAAAGCATAAAAAAGAGGGCAGGTGTGTTGAGAGATCTGGCGAAGGGTAAGAGAGCAGGGCTCCGCAGATGCGCTGTGGTCTTAATTACCCACGGCCATGCCTCCCACAGGTGCTGCTGGAAATGCACACAAGTGAAATTGCCAGTCTTTTGCATGCACCATGCCAGAAGAGGGGGTTTAAATGTGCTGGAGTAGACGTGGGTGTGGCATGCGATTGTTCCAACTTCTGGGACGGAGGTGTGAAGAAGGAGATGCCCATCTAGCTATTTAGCAGGGGTGGCACATGTGATTCTCACACCTTAGGAGCTAATGCAATTGAGTGTTTTGCCAAGAAAGAACTCAACTTTCAATTGTGTGTCTCAAGAGCTGCAGACAACAAAGATAAATAATAACAGCAGAGTGGAGTGAAAGGGAAAGGATAGAATAAACTGGAGTGGGAAAAGTGCAGAGGGGTGAGTTATGTTGTCACTGGCAGGTGACATTTGTAATCAGAGAGCATGAGTTTACACCGAAATCAATTCCTTTCTAGTTCTTTCATCTCCAGCAGATTTATAGGTGCCTAGAACCTATATTCCTTCATCTGCTTGAAATTTGGAAAGAATGATTGCAATCTTCTGAACAGTGGCAGGCTCCCCAGCCCCACAACCTTCCATGAATCAAAAGACAACTGAGACTGGTTTAGATTGAAACAGGCCACAACTGTGTTGAATACAGATGAAAGAGGAGTGGCTTGGGCATGGGACAATGGAAAATGCGTCCAGCCCGCCTGCCAGAAGTGACACTTAGGTCAATCCAAACAGGTGTCACTAAGATATAAATGAAATAGGGTGACCCATGCAGGGACCGCCGTCCGGGGGAATGGCAATGGCCCTGGTCCCTGGCTGGGTGTGAGGACATGGCAACTCCCCCTGGATCCCTTTAATGGGATATCCCAGCTTTTGGAGGACCAGGCAGAGACTACTACTTCCCCTTCATCCAAGACAAGGATTGTCCCAATGCCCAACCCCAGTTGTGATGATTGCTATGAGGTAGGCAAAACCAGCAGGCTGGAGACAATTTGCCTGGTGGACAAATTCCCACTCAGCCCCCAAATATGGCAGCCACCATAGCCACAACAAGGTCATTAAACAGCAGCTTGAACCAAGGGAGAGTGGTTGGGTAACTCAACAAGGAAAAACTGGTAAAGGCTCCAGGTGCGGTCTGTTTAATTGGCCTGAGTGCAGACCTGAGGGAAGCCTTTCTGCTCTGTCAGTTCTGCCCACTGGCCCAACCCGGTGGTTAGAGAGTGGTTGGGTAACTCAACAAGGAAAATCTGGTAAAGGCTCCAGGTGTGGGCTGTTTAAATGGCCTGAGTGCAGACCTGAGGGAAGCCTTCCTGCTCTGTCAGCTCTGCCCACTGGCCCAACCCATATCTGAGCCTGTGCCCCCTTTGACAATCCTGGGCACAAGCTAGGATCTGGCATCTGATAGGCAGCATGGGCTTGTGTAGAGCTCCGACTGGTTGGACTTTCCCTGCATTATAATGCCAACATGCTGCATACATATAACCCCTTGCTCCATTCTCTGCTAAATGTTACAGAGCAGCATATTCTGCATACAGTAGTGGAAGTTGCAGGATGACCCAACACTCAAAATTGCCAGGTGGCAGGACTTCCGGGTTGGCGCCTCTGGCAATGGCGGATTTCCTCCGATCGGGAGGAATCCGCTCTGTGGAAAACAGGGTCTGAACCGCCACGGCGAGGCGGAGACCCACTAAAAACCACAGGCAGAAGAAGCCTGTGGACGTGGGATTCGGCTGGCACCTTTGCGCCTCCCCTACTCGTGGGGAAACCCTGTTTTGGGGATCTGGAGCGACGTGGGGTGAGTGGCGCGGTGCTTTGAATCGACTGCTTCTTTCACGGAGTGAAGCTGCATTGCTGTTGCCGGAGAGCGCTGACTTTTTCCTGTGGACAATTGGACTTTAAACAACTACTCGTGAGTAAAACGGAAAATTGGATTCTTAAATACTTTAATTCAGCACTGAAACGGGAAGGTTATAAACAGGAAGTCCGCCTCCCGTTTTTGTAAATAGACTGAAGCAAAGACGTTACAAGTTAAAGCCTTTGAAAGCTTTTGGCAAAGGATCAAATTTCCACCGGTTTGAAATACAAAATCCCCCTTGGAAGCAGGAGAAGTGGGGGAATTTTTGGATCTAGTGAGCCTGCAGGAAAGAGTGAAAAAATCAAATTACCACTGCTCTGAACCTGGGAACGGGCTGCCAGATGAAGTTTGGAGAGAGTGCTTTTGACAGAACGGATTTGACAGCTAGCTAAATAAGAGTAAGATACTGTTTCCATTGTCCTTTTCTGCGCTTAAAAAAGAGGGAAAGTAACTGAAAATTTATCTTTAATGCTTGAGTTGCGCTTGAAAGAACTGATACAAGTGGATACTGTTTCCCTCTAGAGGGAGCTTTTGAAACTGTTACAGGAGTATAACTGGGGGATTTCCAGTTGCAGATAAGGATTTTGAGAACCA